CCCAGTGAGGAGATGTGATCCCAGTGAGGAGATGATGTGACCTCAGTGAGGAGATGATGTGACCCCAGTGAGGAGATGATGGGATCCCAGTGAGGAGATGTGATCCCAGTGAGGAGATGATGTGATCCCAGTGAGGAGATGATGTGATCCCAGTGAGGAGATGTGATCCCAGTGAGGAGATGTGATCCCAGTGAGGAGATGATGTGACCTCAGTGAGGAGATGATGTGATCCCAGTGAGGAGATGATGTGATCCCAGTGAGGAGACATGATCCCAGTTAGGAGATGATGCTATCCCAGTGAGGAGATGATGCGATCCCAGTGAGGAGATGATGTGATCCCAGTGAGGAAATTATGTGATCCCAGTGAGGAGATGAGATCCATTCCTCCTCCCTGCTGCTCCTGATTCTGTCACCAGCTCTGGCAGAGCCCTGATGGTCCCACCTGGAATTTTCCCTCTCCATCCTGCCTTTCCCACTGCAGGATTGGGAGAAATCCCCCCCGCACCGTGACATTGATGGTGGTTTTCCCCCATAAAACCCAGCAGATAAAAAACCTTGGGGAAAAGCCTTTTAAAAGCCTTTGCAGAGCCCCTGGGTGGGACAACAGCAGGGTGGTGGCACTGCCAAACCTCCTGGGGACATCCCTGTGTCGGAATCGGCTGTTAACCGAAAGGTTGGTGGTTCGTGCCCATCCAGGGACGCCATTTGTCAGAATCTGAGGTATTGATGATCCCAAAATTGTAGAAAGTCTCTGTCTTTCAGCCCCATTGACAAAGAAGAAGCCATAATTCGTCTGTGCTGGTTTCAAGGGTGTTTATTCTGTTTATCTCTAACATGTTCTGCTGCCCTGCCGCAGCTCTGTCCTGCAGGGCAGCGTGTGGGGCTCTGCCCTCAGTGGGATGGTACAAACATTAAATACCACAAACTACCTGTGCTGGATTTACAATAACGTGCCAATATCTGTCACCTACGTTGGACAGTGTGTCCCCAGCCTGAACCAACAGAAAAATGCCAACACCGCAGTGAAACATGGAGGGTATGAAGAAGGAGAAAAAGGACAAGGCACACCCAATTTCCTCCATCTTGTCCCCTTTGGACCCCTCATCTAGAATCCCAAAATTTTACTTTTGCACCCGTGCCACACTTAATTATTCCTTATATCAAACACTCAGAGCTGGTAATTCATCCTGTAAGATTGAAAACTCTTTTCCATGGGCAGAGATCACAGCCAGTGTCTCTGGGGGCTCTGTCCAGGGGGGTTCCTGACCCCTGCCAGGGTCCCAGGGCAGCCAGAGGGAATTCCTGGATTCCCACATCCCTGTGTGGATGACCCCGTGGTGGGGACAGCAGAGTGACCTGGCGGGGCTGGGTGGCTTTGGGGACATCCCTGGGGATGGGGTTTCCTCCCTGCCTGGCTGCTCTTTGAACCCGAGCAGTTGTGCCGTGTTTGTGCAACACTCGCTGCAATCAGGGAATCAGCCGCGCTAATTGGATTGCGCCGGCCGCGCTAATTGCCGCCTGCTTCCAATCAAGCTGTGCGCGCCTTTGAGAAGCTCGCTGGCCTTTATCAGCCCGGCGAACCGCGCCGTGGAGGTGACCTGCCAAATGATCCCCCGTGTTGCTAAAGCGCTTTTCATCCCCGCTGATCCCCCCGAGCCCTTTTCTTTCTCTTTTTGTAACAACAAACTCGGGGAAATCCCAGAAATCCCAGAGCAGCTCCCGCCTGCCTGTGCTGGTGGGCACAGGGGGGGTCTGGAGGAGGTGACAGAGGGGTGGCAGGGGTCCCACGCTGCTGGTTTTGGGATGGGGGAGAGGGTGGTGCTGCGCTGATGTTGCTGGGTTTGGCCCCTGGTGGCGCTTGTCACTTGTCCTGGATCAGGGTTTATGGGAAGAGCTGATCCCGCTGCTCTGCCCGGGATTTGGCCACGCTCCTCCATGGAGCATCTCCCTCCCCATGGCCACAGCTCCCAGGGAGCTGCCGGGCCACCAGCCCGGCTCTGGGGCTGCCCAGGGACTGCTCACTCCTGCCAGGACCCAGGGAGGGGACAACAACCCTTGCTGTGCTTCAGTGGGGACAATCGAGGGTGGTGAGGCCCTGGCACAGCCACCCCTGGGTGGCCACTGCCAGCCAGGGACACCAAACACAGGGAGAACATTGCACAACTCATTTATTTCAACCCAAATGCCCTGATTTTGCTAAAAACTTGCATGTGAGCTGCTCATCCTCCATTGCCTGAGCTGTCTGTCTGGTGGGGTCTGGCCTGAGTCCAGGGACCCTCCTGTAGGGGCCCCAAACTCTTCCAGACACGGGGCTGGGGTGACCTTGGGCACATCCCAAGCCCTCGGCGCCTGGCCCTGACCGCAGACTCGTGTTTTGAGCCTTTTTCCCAAATTTTGGAGGTGAGAAAGGAAGCCTCTGACTGCACCGCGGGGAGCTGGTGGTGCCAAGAGTCCCCGTGGCACCAGCCCTGCCAGGGCGAGGAGGGTGAGTGCCCCATTCCCCCCTCCCACCCTCCTGGAGTCTCCCTGGCTGTGCTGGGACGGGATTTTGTCAGGACGGCTCTGCTCCTGCCAAACGTTTCCATTTTGACAAGTTGGCATTTTCCAAGAGCAACATTCCCCCTCCCAAGGCAAACAGGGAGCTGGAGCAGCTCCTGTTTCCAATGGCTCACGGAGAGGCGCCCGAGCTGGCCGGTGGCACGGGCTGGGTGTGTTTGTGCTCAGGGAACCGCTCTGGTAATGAACCTTCAGAAGGCTGAGTTAGAGCAGAGCTACAGAATAAAGCAGGGATTTAATGAAAGGCCTCCATGGATCCACTTTGGGCACTGCAAGATGAACCAAAATGGTCCCAAAATGCACGAGGTCTCACACTTCTCTAAGTTTTGGTCCATTTGCATTTTGGGGTTAATTGTCCAGTTACAGCTTTAGGTTGTGAAGTTCCACCCTCCTTGTTTTTCTCTCTTTAATTCCCTGCTGTTCCCGCTTTTTGGGCCTGGACAAGCTTGGGATGGTGTCTTTGGTGAAGCTGGAAAAGGATTGCTCAGTGTGCCGGGGAGAACTCGCTGGCACACGGAGCTCAGAGTCACAAACCAACAGCGCAGAGCCCCGGGAATGCCAAGGCCAAACCAAGGCACCCCCAGAGCCACCGCAGTGCCACCGGTGCCACCGCTCCTCCCCGGGGGCTGGGAGGGCTCCGGGGCTGCTCTGTCCCCGTCCCCTCCGGCCCTCTGCGGGCTCCAGCAGCCCCGAGAGGCAGCCAGGAGAGGGCACAAAGCCCTGCAGCCAGGCAGCCTTGTCACCGTGTCACTGTGTCACCCTGCAGCCTTGTCACTGTGTCACCCTGTGACCCTGTCACCGTGTCACCCTGCAGCCTTGTCACTGTGTCACCCTGTGACTGTGTCACCCTGTGACCCTGTGACCCTGCAGCCTTGTCACCGTGTCACCCTGTGACTGTGTCACCCTGCAGCCTTGTCACCGTGTCACCCTGTGACCTTGTCACCCTGCAGCCTTGTCACCGTGTCACCCTGTGACTGTGTCACCCTGTGACTGTGTCACCCTGTAGCCCTGTCACCGTATCACCCTGTGACCTTGTCACCCTGCAGACTTGTCACCGTGTCACACTGTGACTGTGTCACCCTGTGACCGTGTCACCCTGCAGCCTTGTCACCGTGTCACCCTGTGACTGTGTCACCCTGTGACCTTGTCACCGTGTCACCCTGTGACTGTGTCACCCTGTAGCCCTGTCACTGTGTCACCCTGCAGCCCTGTCACCCTGCAGCCTTGTCACCGTGTCACCCTGCAGCCCTGCCACCCTGTGACTGTGTCACTCTGCAGCTTTGTCACCCCCCAGCCCTGTCCCCGTGTCCCCCTGCAGCGCTGCCATCCTACAAGTCCCCACTGGTGCCACTGTGGCCCTACAGGATTTTCACCGACCCCAATCCAGGCCCTGGATCCAATTCTAAAAAGAGTTAATTACGTTAATCGGCTAATTAAGACACCAGCCTGGGATCCTGCTCTGCTGCCGGAGTGAGACCCCAAAAACACCCACGGGAGCCCCGGGAATGGTGAGAGGGGCAGGAATACAGGGAGGGAGAAAAACGGATGGGAAAATGTGGTGAAGTATGGAGAGATGTGGGAAATCACGGGAAAACGTGTGAGAACACAGGGAAACGTGGGAAGCGTGTGAAAACACGGGGAAGCGTGGTAAAAATATGGGAAAACACGGGGAAATGTGGGGAAATAGGGAGAAATGTGGGAAATGTGGGGAAAGAGGGGGAAATGTGGGAAAATAAATAGGGGAGATGTGGGAAATGCAGGGGAAATGTGGGAAATGCGGGGGAAATGTGGGAAATGCAGGGGAAATGTGGGAAAATGAATAGGGGAGATGTGGGAAAATAGGGGGAAATGTGGGAAAATGAATAGGGGAGATGTGGGAAAATAGGGGGAAATGTGGGAAAATAGGGGAAATGTGGGAAAACAAATAGGGAAAATGTGGGAAAACGAATAGGGAAAATGTGGTAAAATAAATAGGGGGAATGTGGGAAAATAGGGGGAAATGTGGGAAATGCGGGGGAGATGTGGGAAAATAGGGAGAAATGTGGGAAAATAGGGGAAATGTGGTAAAATAAATAGGGGAAATGTGGGAAAAATAGGGGAAATGTGGGAAAAAGTGAAAACATGGAGTAACATAGGGAAATGTGGGGTAACATAGAAAAACAAGCAGAAACGTGGTGGGGGAAAAGGAAAATACAGGGAAAACACCCGAGAACACAGAGAAATGTGGGCAAACGTGTGCCCTGTGTGGCAGGGCCGGGAGCGCTGCCCCGGGCTGGGGCTGCCCCGTGCGGGTGCCAGGCACGCGTGGGAGTGGGGAGGGGGGGTGGGGTCTGTCCCCGCGGGGATCCCGCGTGTGCCGCGCCCCCTCCCAATCCCCTCCCTCCCCCTCCTTCCCTCCCCTCCCCTCCCCTCCCTTCCCTTCCCCTCCTCGGGGCGTCACCGCCCCACGCGCGTGTTCCTCGCCCTCCCCCGCCCCGCGGGTGGGCGTGGGGGGCTCGGGGAGCGCCGAGGGGGGCGCGGCGGTGGGTGCGGGATGCGCGGCCCCCGATGGGATGTAGCGGGCGGCTGTTGGGACCCGCCGGGGGCGGCCGCGGCTCTTCGCTGCTCCTCACCATGATCCTCTTCTTCACCTACTTCTTCTCCTGCCTGCCCGGGCCCTGCGAGCCGCTGCCGCCCGCGCTGCTGCTGCCGCCGCCCGCCGCGCTGCCCGCGGGGCCGGGGGGCTCCTCGGGGGGCTCCTCGGGGGGCTCCGGGGGTTCCTCGGGCTCCTCGGGGGGCGGCAGCCGCCGTTTCCCCCAGGCCATCATCGTGGGCGTGAAGAAGGGCGGGACGCGGGCGCTGCTGGAGTTCCTGCGGGCGCACCCCGGGGTGCGGGCGGTGGGTGCCGAACCCCATTTCTTCGACAGGTGCTACGAGAAGGGGCTGCGCTGGTACAGGTGAGGAGGTGGCGGTGGCGGTGGGGGGGTGACTGAAGGGATCGGTAATTAGCGCGGAGATGCGTTAATTGATGCCCGGGCCGGCTCCGCAACAGGCGGGTCCCGGCAGAGAAAGGGGGTCCGGGGGAGGGTGTGGGGGGCGGCAGCTCCGACCCTCGCCTGGGCTGGTGGCTGCTTTTGTGGGGCTGCTGCAGTGTGAAAAGCGCTTCCCTTGTCCCCTTGTCCCCTTATCCCCTTGTCCCCGTTTTCCTCCCTGTCCCCCCGCGCCTCCCATCCCGCATCCCGCCCGGCCAGGGACGGAACCGGCAGCAAAAATGTGCTCCTTTCACTCCCCGGGCGCTGCGATTTTAACCTTTAGCGCTTTATCCCCCAGCCGTGCCCCCGTTTGCCCGCTGGGCTCCTTTAGGAATTGTTTTATTCGTGTAGTTTCTATTAAAAAAAAAAAAAAAAAAAAACAAAAAACAAAACACCACAGAAATAAGAGAAGCGAGGACCTCGGGCTTGATCCTGAGCGGGCGAGGGGCGAATCCGTGGGATCCTCGGTGGGTTTGTGGCAGAGGGCAGAGCTGCAGTGATCCGGGTTTTTTTTTTTTCTTTTGGAGGGTTTCGATGGGATTGAGCCGTTCAGGCGATAAAACATTCGGAAAAGCAGCTACTGTGCATGTGGAGTGTATTAAATCGCGTCTCCCGGCCAGCTCCAGAGCGGCCGGGCCAAGCGGAGTCGGGAGCGATAAGTCCCTGGAAGGCGGGGATGGAATCTGCGCCGTTATTCTGAAGGCAACCCTAACGTGTCGATGTATGAAAAACATCTGAAAATAATAAAAGGAGTAGCTCTCCCTGTCCTTCCTGCCCCGCCAGCCCCTGCTCCCCGAGCCCCGCGGGAATACCGCGTTTCTCTCCATCTTTTGGGGGAGGCTGCAGCTTCCCAACGCTCGCCAAAGTAACAACCTGGGAAAAATCAGCGTGTTTAATGGAAAGAGTAATTGTAGTGGTAATTTTACCCGCAGACTTTCAGCTCTCTGAGCCCACATCTGGGCTGTAAAGTTACGACTTAACACACCTTCAAAACCCAGTAAGTAGCGGCGCTTATTTTTACGGCTGCATGAATATCCCGGTGATTTATGAGCTCATTCCTCCGCTCGGGTCCGCGATGCTCGAGGAGCAATAATGATGAGCACTGATTTTTTTATTTATTTTTTTGGGGGTGAGGATTGCGAGCCGGGCTCTGGCTTGGCAGAACGGGACTTTAATGACTGCGAGCGCATCATTAAAGCGGGGAAGATCGAACGCTTTCATATCGCTCGGCGAGGCTCGCAGGACGGAGCGCGGAGAGGAGCAGAAATAAATCTTATTTTCGATGGCCCTGCTGAGGGTTTTTAGTGCTGGAAGTGCTTGCAGGGAGCTTGGCCTGACACCAGTTTCGAGATGATCCCGCATGTGGTTGTGGTAAATTTGGAGCAATGGAGCGGGGAAGGTTTTTTGGGCTGGGGAGAATCCGCATCCTTGGGGCGAGGCAGAAATCAGGAGATGTTTTACTTTAACTCTGCATAAAGTGTGGTTTTAATCATACACACACACACACACAACTATTTCCCTTCGCTTCCTCTCCTCTCTGCCTCTTGTTTTGTCTTCTCACAAGACCTCGCAGCACTGAGGGATTTTATCCTCGGCAAAGCCAGACAGAGCTAAATGTTTAAAATGTTTAAAACTGGGATGTGCTGGAGTGGGGGGAAAGAGAAGTTGGACAGAAAATCGGGTTTTTCCTATGGATATCTCAAAAGTGGTGTAAACATTTTTAAAATATTTGAACTTGCTAGGAAACCGAAATTACACCAACTGCTTCTCACGCCAACATATTTGGCCCGAAGGCACCTGTAGGTTGTTGCTTGTTTGGAGTAAATGTGGAAAAAGAATTCCCTTGGAAATATCACTCCAGAATTATTTTGTTCTTTCTTAGTAGCTCCATCCCGTAGTGATTTCCCTGCCCTGGCAGGAGCATCTCCTCGTGGGTGATGAGTAGTTTAAGTTACTAAATGAAATAATTTATTCTTACTGGATAGTTTTATTTAATTTAAATTTTAAATGTCCCAAAGCCTTTTTTTTTTTTTTTGTAGTAGTAGTAGTAGTGAAAGGAAAATGTCCTGCAAAAGCATCTCCTACAGAATTCCTTGAGTTACTACAGCTTTAGCTAATTCTAAGAAGATTAAACACCTTTTTGAGGCCGCAGTGTAAATGATTTAATGGCTGATCCAAGCATGATGGGATGTTTTCTCCTCAAGCAAATCACAATTTTAATTTTTTTGGCACTCAGTGCTGCTTGAAGGAAACTGAAATAAAAAAGAAGAGGTGATGCTGGCATGTCTGCTGCCAGTTTGGGGTGTGGGGGGTCCCCTTTGGGAGCCTGGGACTGTGTCTGATATTTGGGAATGTAGGTGAGGACAAATGGTAGAAGCTGAACTGAATCCGACCAGTCTGTGGTGATGTTCAGAAATCCATTGTGAAACTTGGGGTGTCTGTGAAGGAAGGTGTGGGGCCAGGTCCTGCCTGTGCCTGTGGGGGTGGAGGAGAACAACATTTGTGGGGTGAAGGAGTTTGGGGGTTGGAACCCCCTCGGTGTGAGGGGAGCGGGTTTGGGCTCACAGGGGACATTGGGACGGGTTCACCCCTTGTGTGGTGGGGCTGGAGCTCTCCAGTGGTACCGCTCTGCCCCACTGGGGATGTTCTGGGGGCGCAGCAGAATCCTCGCATGGGATCGTTCCCTTTTTGGAGCTGTTCTGGTTCCCCCGCAGAGGTCCCGGCTGCCTTTGGCACAGCCTCGGGGTTTTTGGGGGGATCGGGGCAGGAGAGAAGGGGAGCAGCAGCTTTGGGGAGCGTGGCAGTGCTGGGAGAGGGGCCTGGCTTGCATGAAAGGGAATTCAGCTCTGAGGGAATCCTGGGCAAAGCTCTGAGCCCATCCAAAGAGCTCTCCTGGTCCCCATCAGCCAAAGCTTTGGGGCACCATGGGCTCGGTGTCAATGGGTTTTTCCCCTGGCTCGGGTTTCCCTGTGTGATCTGGGATCCCTGACCCTCTCTTCCATCCTGTTTTTTTCCTGCTTTTCCAAGAGCCAAAGGAAGGCTGAGGCAGGAATGGTGCTGGGCCAAGGCTCCCTCCACCCCACGTCCCTTGGGACCGAGCCCTGGCAGTGCCCACACCGGGTTTGTAGGAATTATAAAGAATCCCCTATTTTCATACCCTTTGCAGCAGAAGTATTAAAAAGTACTATGGGATGTCTGGTGGTTGTCCCCCTGCAGCCAGAGGGACGCGAGGAGCTGGAATCCCCACTGAGCATCCCCCGGCCCTGCAGAGCCCGCCCAGAGCTCCGAGACTCTCCGAGACCAAATTTCACTTTTCATTCTCGGTTTTCCCGTCCCATCCAACACCAAAGCTGACATGAGCGGGGAGGAACTCCCCGTGGGGTTCCTCATCCCTCTGTGCTCCTGCTGGAGCGTCCCAGCTCGGGAGAACCTCCGGTAAGGTGGAGGGGGAGTAGAGGGGCGCTGCTGGCGTGTGGGGTTTGCCCCCTCCCCTTCCCCAGCCCCATTCACAGGAGCTCAGAAGGCTCTTGAAAGGCATCCAGGATTTCTTGAGCCAGACTTTGTTATCTCGGAACCTCGCAACCCCGACGCCTTTGAGCGACAGGGGAAGGACGCGGCTGCGGCGCTGCTCTTTTGACTTTTGCCGGGAGCGTTTCTTGGCAGCTGAAAAGTGCAGCTAAGTAGGTGCCTGGAGGGGTTTTTGTGTGTGTTGTGATTGTACAGACAGATCGAGGCACTCTATAGCCGAGCTGCTGAATGGAATCGGCTCCTCCGGAGCCACCAGGCTGCGATTTTGGCAGCGCTCTCGTGGCCCCTTCCAGGGCAGCTTTCCTGGGGAAGCGCAAAGGTGGGAGAGACAAAGGGAGGACGGGATGGCCGGAGCTGCTCCGGGATTTTATCTTTATTCATTGGCACCGCTAATCTCTCCTCCTGACGGACTCGATTTCAGAGCGGCCCTTGTTTTCCCGGGGCACTCGCAGACACTCAGCCCCGCAGCTTCTCGCCTATATTACTTTGCAATCTTTTCTCTTTTTTTTTTTTCTGTTCCATTCACAAGTGAGACCTTTCTGTCTCAGCTTCCCCGGATTCTCACCCCCGTGTTTGGGAAATGAAACCTCGAGTACAAAGAAAACATGCGGGAAACCTGAGAAATAGCTGATTTTAACTAAGAATAAGATACATGAAAGCTTTTACTTAAGGTGTAGAGTTTGGGGTTGGCTTTCATGCACTGTTCTAGCGCCAGCCCTGCTCTCAGGACCAGGCTGATGTGCCTCTGTTTTCTGCTCCCCGACACACACCCAGCACCGCCCGCTCTTGGGAAGCAATCCATAATTCGTGCAAAGTTTGGGTTTCTGCAAACTGCTTTCACGTGGGATTAAAAATAGCTTTTACTGCCACGATGAGGAATTAACATTTGAAACCATTTAAAGGGCTCCCGGCTGCGATTGCTGCGGTGGGGAGAGACAGGGGCTGTGCCTGTCCTGTTTTGGGGGGTCGGTGATGGGGTGAGGAGCACAGCTCAACCCCCCTGCCCCCATTTTCATGCTCTTATCGCCTTATTTCCACGCGGGCAGGTTTTCTTCCCGATCCCATCAAGTGCTTCTTGCTGACCCAAGCAGGTTTGGGAGCCTGAATTTGAGCCCGGCTCAGCCTCCGGGGAAATGAAGTCGCGTTTTTCCTTCTGCTGTCGCTCAGATGGTGTCAGGCTCCGGGGATTGGAGCTGCCTGTTAATGCTGGTTGGGATTTTGGGGATAAAAGCTGCGATTTGCAGGGTGGAAGGTGCTCTTCCCGGCTCAGGAATGCTTTCCCTGTCTCCGGCTCTGTTAAATAAATGGGGGGATTACACCCGGCTTGGGCAGGAGTAACCTGAGTTCCTAAAGGATTTCAGAGCTGCCAGCATTTATATCCCAGGCTGCTTAAATACACCCAGAAATCACAGGGCTGTTTTCAAAAGATAATATTATGGGAATTAATACATTTGGAAAAGGCTTCTTTATTCCTGTCCTTTCTCTTGTGCTCTCCGTTGTAACCTCAGGGGGTAGAAATTGAAATATGGAAATATGGCTTTTTTTTTTTTTTTTTTTTTTGTCCACGTAACTCAAGAGAAGTTTTGAAAATATGTCAAATATTGCCAAAAAATTCACCAGAAAGCCGCAAGGCTTCTGTTAGTGGAATTACTCAAAGCTTGGAGAAGTGATCGCTGCAGTGTAAAGGAAAGTTTGGGAGTTTCTCCTTAAAGGTATTAGGTGGATTTTTTCCCCTGGATTTTTTCTAGCTAGTGACAGAAGGTGGAAAAGGCCGGTGGATTTAGAGGGTGCTTTCATGCAAGGAGAGACAATTACTTAAGAGAGTTCAAAGCTTATTTATAAAACAGTAATTACCTTCCCCTGGGAGGGAGACGGGCAGCTCTGGCGGCGGGGAGGGGGTTACAGCACTTAATTGGCAAAGATGCTTAAAAGCTTCCTCCTGACCTTTTCAGAAACTTTCTGCTGCAACAGGCTCGGGCAGAGATTGAAAAGCTGCCCGAGGAAAGGCCAGGTTTAATACCGAGACTTAGCTCTAAATGGCTTTTCAAAGGGCTGTGGAAATCCTCCTGCTCAGGGAGCTGCGGGAGAGAGGGAGGGAGGGAGGGAGGGATGGATAAAAGATGGATGATGGATTGATGGAGAGATGGATGGAAAAGGGTGGATAAAAGATGGATAGATGGATGGATGGATGGATGGATGGATGGATGGATGGATGGATGGATGGATGGATGGATGAAGGATGGATGGATGGATAAAAGATGGATGGATGGATGGATGGATGGATGGATGGATGGATAAAGGATGGATAAAATATGGATGGAGAGATGGATGGATAAGATGGATGGATAAAGGATGGATGGATAAAGGATGGATGGATGGAGAGATGGATGGATAAAGGATGGATAAAAGATGGATGGATGGATGGATGGATGGATGGATGGATGGATGGATGGACTGATGGATTGATGGAGAGATGGATGGATAAAGGATGGATAGAGGGATGGGAGATGGATGGGTGAAGGATTGGATGGATGGATGGATGGACTGATGGATTGATGGAGAGATGGATGGATAAAGGATGGATAGAGGGATGGGAGATGGATGGGTGAAGGATTGGATGGATGGGAGATGGATGAAGGATTGGATGGATGGATGGGAGATGGATGGATGGATGGAGGGAGGGAGGGAGGGAGGAGGGATGGAGGGATGAAGGATTAGATGGATGGATGGATGGATGGATGGATGGATGGATGGATGGATGGATGGATGAGGGATGGATGGATGGAGGTTTGGATGGATCGATGGATGAAGGATTGGATGGATGGATGATGGATGGATGAAGGATTGGATGGATGGATGCTCCTCTGCAGGACAGGCTCTGGGAACAGGATGGGACCTGAGCCTGGCAGCTCCCTCCTCCCCATATCCTGGCTCTTGGGATGGCCAAAATATTAAAGTGAGGAGCACAAGGATGTTCTGAGAAGCTTCTGTGGGACTTGGTTGGAAGTCTGGTCTGAGGGGTGAAGGCAGCAAGGGTTGGTCCATGCTGGTCATGTCAGGTTTAAAATGAGTCTTTGCTTTCCTGTGGGAATTCATGGAATCATGGAATGGTTTGTGTTGGAAGGCACCTCAAAGATCAACTCATCCCACCCCTGCCATGGCAGGGACACCTCCCACTGTCCCAGGCTGCTCCAAACCCTGTCCAACCTGGCCTGGGCACTGCCAGGGATCCAGGGGCAGCCTCAGCTGCTCTGGGCACTGTGCCAGGGCCTCCCCAAATTCACCCCACGTGAAGAACAGCCCAGACCCCCCAATCCCACCATGACAAACTCGTGGTGGTTGCAGCCCTGAGCTTTCCCCGTGGCAGGGTTGAGGTCTCAGCTCAGGTTTCACACACTCACCTTTATGTGGTGATAGTCCTGGGTGGAAAATTCACAGCAGCTCCTTGGATGTCCCCTCCTTCTCCCTCTGCTCAGGGACAGCTCGGAGATCACAGGAATCCTCAAAATTACCCAGGCGACCCTGAAGTGAGTCACTCTGAGCCAGAGACTCGTTTGAGATGCAAATGTGGATGTGGCAGGATGAGGAGGGGGCACAGGGGCACAGTGGGGTCCTGCAGGTCACCCCAGGGCTGGGGGTCAGTGTCCAGCTCCCTGTGATTCCTGGAGAGCAGGGATGAGCCAGGTTTGCACGGCTGAGATGGTCCAGAGCCACGGACCAGAGAGAGAATCCCTGTTCCACCACAGCGCTGCTCCCAGGCTGAAATGTGGGAGGGAATGGCTGAAATTCAGAAAAATTCACTATTTGGGCTGTTAAAGCCCCAGCACGGAATGTTTTAGGCAGTTTGGGATAACAGCAGCACTTTGGGAGTGGGATGAGCTGCTGGGCTCCTCCTGGGAGTGATTTTGGTGTGTTCCAGCAAGGAAATTTCGTGGGAGGCAGGGACACGAGGGGAATAATCTCCTCTCTCCCATCCAGCAGCTCCCAGCGAGGGGGTGGCAGAGCCTCCCACATCCACGGGGCTGCTCTGGATCTTAACACACAAAATTGATCAGGAGCAGGAGAGAATTACATTAATACAGTCACTTGTCACCGAGGTCTTATTAGGAATCTCCATTCATTAGTGTGGCGAGAACAAGGCTGTGACCTCGTTAACGTCCTTGGGCAGGAAAAGGCTGATTGATCACTTTGCTGCTGATTTATCACTTGGCTCCTGAGCCTGGCCGTGGGCACACCTGGCCCTGGGCACACCTGGAGGGTTTTCTGTAGCTGGAGTGAAGAATTGGCATCCCCGTCCCTGCCCTGTCCGCACCCTTCGGGCTGAGTCAGCCGGGAATTCGCAGCCGTGTTATGCAAATTTTAAAAAATAATAAATAAAGGGACGCGGGGGTGATTGATGGGAAGGGCCAGGGAAAGTGACAGATCCCGTCCCCGGGGGCCACATCCCGGCTCTGCTCGGCGGGGGCTGCCGGGGCCTCCTGCCCTGTGCAACTTCCCAGCTGCTCCAGGGCCGCAGCATCCCAAAGCCACCCCAAAGCCATCCCAAATGCACCCCAAAGCCATCCCAAAGCCATCCCAAAGCCATCCCAAATGCATCCCAAAGCAATCCCAATCCCCAACCCAAACCCATCCCAAATGCATCCCAAAGCGTCCCAAACCCATCACAAAGCCACCCCAAATGATCCCAAACCTGCCCCAAAGCCACCCCAAAGCCACCCCAAACCCATCCCAAAGCCACCCTAAACCCACCCCAAAGCCACTCCAAACCCATCCCAAATGCATCCCTGTGGATGTGGCACTTGGGGACACAGATGGTTGGACAGGACGATCTTAAAGGGCTTTTCCAACCATGATTCCACAACTCCATAATTCCTTCTGGGGCTGAAATCAAGCCCCCATCAGGGCAGGATCCCAAAATGCCTCTGCCCATCTCCACAGCCCTACATCGATGATTTCACTGGAGTTTATTTTCCCCTCTCTGGAGGATTCTGTCCCCACCTGCCTCACCCCCCTGTGCCCCCCGGGAATTCCAAGTGACAAATCCCCCCCTCCAGGGCCACCCTGCCAGGGAGGAAATGGCGATTTAAGTGGAAGCCAAAGAAATGCCCCAATTCCCGCCAGTGCCATCGATCGATCATCAGCGAGATCGATCGATCAATCAATCCCTGCAGCCGGGGCGGGGGACACCGATGTCCTGGGGGGACACTGATGTCCCGGGGGGGACACCGATGTCCTGGGGGGGACAGTGATGTCCTGGGGGAATTCGGGAGCGCTGCATTCACATGGATCTGCCTGAGGATTTCCATGATATCCATCTCAGGTCCATGATATCCATCTCAGGTCCATGATATCCATTATCGTGGGTCCATGGTATCCATCCCAGGTCCATGGTATCCATCATCTCAGGTCCATGAAATCCATCCCAGGTCCATGATATCCATCTCAGGTCCATGATATCCATCTCAGGTCCATGATATCCATTATCGTGGGTCCATGGTATCCATCCCAGGTCCATGGTATCCATCATCTCAGGTCCATGAAATCCATCCCAGGTCCATGAGATCCATCTCAGGTCCATGGTATCCATCCCAGGTCCATGAGATCCATTATCGTGGGTCCATGGTATCCATCCCAGGTCCATGGTATCCATCCCAGGTCCATGAGATCCATCTCAGGTCCATGATTTCCATCTCGGGTTGCTCACGCGATGATCAGCGCCTGGGTGTCCCCGTATCTCTCCAGCCATGGCCCATCCCCATCTCCTGGCCAGCCACATCCTTTTACCTGTAAATCGGGTTCCAACACACACCAGGTTTCCCTGCGAGGATAGGGGGGGAATCCTAATACAAACGTGTATACTCCAACAAATATTCAATATCACACATATCACACAAGAAATGGCGCAAATTATATCTACTGCACATAACATGGCTCTGGTGTTTGGAGCAGGTTGAGGCAGGAGGTTTGCAGGGAGTTTGGGGAGCCCAGAGCTCAGTTTGGGTGGTGTGGGGTGGATGGAAGCACGCTGCCTCCTGGTTCTGGGGCTGCTGTCACCCCTGGCAGGTGGCTCCAGGTCACTCGTGTCCCCCAGGGCGGTGGCTGTGTCCCTCTGGGTGTTTGCATCACATCCCTTCCTTTCTCCCAGTCGGTGATGAAGGTGTCCCCAGCCCCCCCAAACCCCTGGGCTGGTTTAGGGAACCACCAGGGACAATCACCCCAACCTCCCCCAGCCCCTGGGGTGTGATGGGGACATCGCTGTGCTGAGCTCAGGGTCACAGAAAATCCCAAACTGGGACGGCCCCGTTGATCCAGCTCATCCCTGGTGACGAGCCCAGCCCAGAGGGGAGCAGGGGTGGCCTCAGAGCCCCCAGCCCTGAGCAGGGGATGGGGCTGGGACCCCCAGCAGCTCTCCCTCGTTAGCCTGAGTGTGACATGCCGGCTAATTACCCTCTGTGCCATCAGCAGGGACGTGTGGGGCTGGTGTCACTCTGTCCCTGCGTTTGATCCCCGTCTCCTTACAAGGCAGATAATGAGGGACGGCCTTGTTCAGTGCTGCTCTTGGTGTGAACATGAAAAATTCATATTTGGCTGCTTTGAGGAGCATCAGGAAGCCTGTGAGGGTGTCCTGCATCCACGGGGCTGAGCAGGGATCACACCCAGGCCTCGGTCATGTTAGGGACTCATAAAACTTGAATTCCTGGACAGACACTGGGAAGGGGAGATTCCTTTCAGCATGAATCACTCTGGTGGTGCAAGACCTTTCCTAAACATTTTTTTTTTCTGGGCAAAATGCTTTTAAATAAAGGCTCACAGGTTCAGGGAGCACCTAACTCCAGCTGTGTCCAGCTGTGCAAGCCTCATGTCAGCACCACAAGCAAACAAATCGCTGGAAGTGTCAACACACACCTGGTTGTTGGGGGTTTCTGGTTTCATGGCACCAGGGCTGATGGCTTCCACGCTCAGCTGTGTGTGTGTGATGTACCCAACTCTGACCCCACAACCACCCCACTGCTGCTGGGTGGGCGTGGAGCCGAGGAGATGGAACAGAGCTGGAGGGAGCAGTGTTGTTTGGAAAGAAATCTGGCTGTGAGACCCCCTGGGCTCAGCTGGGAAGCTCCTGGGGACAGATCTCAGCATGCTGCTGAACAGAAGGGTGGAGGAGAGGGTGGTTTTATTCAGAATCCATTTTTATTGGAATCCATTCCGAATAAACCATGGTTTTATTCTGGTTTTATTCGGAAATAATACTTATTCAGAAAAAATTATTTTATTTGGTTTTATTCGGAATCCATTCCCAAGGATTTGATGATTTTTGAGTCGTGGAGCCTTGGCACAGGGGAGTTTAGTTCTTGCTCGAAGCCGGCATGTTCTGAAGACAAGAAAACTGCCCCAGGAACAGGAGAACCAGCAGCCCATGTGAACGTGCACAGCTGAGTTTGAACACAATCCCAGTTTGAGCTGGAAGGGGGCTGGAGATGGTTCATGATCTTCTCACCCACAGCAAAACCTCAGCAGCAGAGGTTAGGAAACCATTCGGAGATGTAAACATCTCCCAAACCATCTCCCAGTCCATAAAACCCCCCAAACCACCTCCCAAACCACCTCCCAGGCCATGAAACCCCCAAACCACCTCCCAGTCCATGAACACCATCAAACTATCTCCCAAACCATCTCCCAGGCCATAAAACCCCCCAAACCATCTCCCAAACCACCTCCCAGGCCATGAAAACCCCCAAACCACCTCCCAGTCCATAAAAAACCCCAAACCATTTCCCAGGCCATGAAAACCACCAAACCACATCCCAAACCACCTCCCAGGCTACGAAAACCCCCAAACCACCTCCCAGGCCATAAAACCCCCCAAACCATCTCCCAAATAATCTTCCAGGCCGTAAAAACCCCCAAATCACCTCCCAGGCTATGAAAACCCCCAAGCCATGCTGGCTCCCTGCGCTTTGAGGAGCTCAGCGGCTCAGAGGAAGGCAGGGGGAGCAGCAGGAGGTGGAAGGTGCTGGGGTGGTGCCCCCACAGACTGGCAGGTTTGTCCTGTGCCAGCTGGGTCAGCTCAGGATGAGCAGAGTGAGGCCCCAATGTGCTGCCAGCTCCCCCAGCCGCCGTGCAGGACAGAGGAGAGCAACTTGAGAGGAACAAGGAGAACTGCTGCCACTTCAAAACTCGGCTGGGAATTGATGCCAGGCCTCCAACAGACTGATGCTCCTTTCTTCTCCCGTTAATTAATTCCTCTGCCTGCAGTGCATTTCCAGCTTTTATTTGTGTGGCAATCAAAGGCTGCGAGCAGCGAGGCTCACATGAGGAACAGACCCATCCAACCTTTTTTTAATCTTCCTGTATCAGCTCCTCGCCCTCTCCTCGTGCTGCCACGCTGCAGCTGAAGCACAGATGCCAGGAGAGGGCTTTGCTGGAGGAGGAAGGGGCAGGCAGAGCCCCGGGCTTTGCTCCCAGCAGGTCTCCTTGGCTTCGAGAGGAGGAGGAATATCGGAATCTGAGGTATTGATGATCCCAAAATTGTAGAAAGTCTCTGTCTTTCAGCCCCGCTGCCAAAGCAGAAGCCATAATTGGTCTGTGCTGGTTTCAAGGCTGTTTATTCTGTTTATCTCTAACATGTTCTGCTGCCCTGCCGCAGCTCTGTCCTGCAGGGCAGCGTGTGGGGCTCTGCCCTCAGTGGGATGGTACAAACATTAAATACCACAAACTACCTGTGCTGGATTTACAATAACGTGCCAATATCTGT